GACCATTGTTCTATTTATATAACATGATGATTGATCATGCAACGCATAAGTCTAATCCTGATCCTGTGCCACTACACGTGATTGCACATGACTGCACAAAATATATCACGTCCAAAGCATGGAAATTAGAACAGTTGCATGGAATCTGCATACATGCAAAATCGACGAACACGTAATTACACAAGATTTTTTAATGTGCACGAAATAATAAACGGCTACATACATAACTATACATAAAATTGCATGGGAACCATGTAAAAAAGCATGCTGTTACGCGCGCTGCTGCATTGAATTCACACCTTTTTATATATCCAGTGCATGTTTTCCCGTGCACTATTATGTGTTATATTCCATATAGTTCAGCATATCACATACCCGTGTTTGACCATAAATTCTGCGCACCATTTTTTATAGAGCTGAAATTGGCCTCCGAAATTGGATCTTTGCATTATCCCGGTTTGCAAATTGATAAAATTTGTAGATCATTGCAATTAATTGTATGTTGTAAGGCGGGAATTGGCCGGTCAGTCGTTCTGCAGCAATTGGGTAACCGACTAACAGAATTCAGGTATGAAATCGAAGGAGGTGTGTTATATTTGCTGAGTGTTAAATGAACGAATATAGTTTATAATATATATTTATGTGACTTTAGCACTTTATTATTTAGGTAAATCGGGAACTAGTTTTTTCTGACGGCCAGAAGGTCTTTATTTTATAATAATTATATTCTCTTCGCCCATACTATTATAAGTGCTATTATCAGTAAAAAAGCTTGCTATATGGCCAAGAGCTTGAGCAGTTATATTTCCATTATAGTCAGTTTGTAAATAAACTGGGCCTCCTATATCTTCAAAATTTTCAAACCCTTTTTCTCCGAGTTGAACTTTGTTCACATTTAAAACACTAGATGCATCAGTCAAAGGATCCGTAGGCAGACTTTTTGTCATGTTTCATTCAGAATAATATAAGAAGTAACAGGTTAAAGTTCATCCGAAACTAATCCCACAGTATAAGGAATATTATTTCAAGAACCAAATATGGTTGCTACAAAACGTATCCTAAATCAAAATTAATATCATGAGCCCCTCCTATTAAGTTTAGATTACCATCTATGCTCACATAAAATTAATTATATTCTTCATTAGGAAGTAACTTGCAGTTATCATTAGTGTAGCAAAGAGCCGGAATGATAAACCCATTAATACCTTGATTGCTGCTTATAAAAGAAGCTAGTCAATTTTTCTCACCCATACATGTTATTGGGAATCTTGCATAAAGTTATGGCTTTTCTTCCCAGTAAACTTAAAAATAAATAAAGATTTGATTTTTTTTTTTGGCTATCTTCATAATATCCAACTTTTAAAAATTTTTTTTCTTTTCTCTAAATCACCAAATTTTGCTATCGCTAAAAATTGTTTTTTAAATCTATTTCTGACTTGTTGATTAGGCAAGTAAAGTTTATTTTTATTGCAAGTAACTATGTGTGTTTTTTTTTAATAATGTCTTACTATGGTTACTTTTCTTATATTACATTCATCATTTTTCTCCTTACAACCTTTGTGACTCCATAGAAAGTAATAACGATTGGGTGTTAATAAACTTTTCATAATAGTTTAAGCTAATATAATGAAATATAAACTTTATTATTCTATTTAGAAGTAGAATACTGGTAAAATTTTAATATAGCAAATAATACCTTATTAATAAAATCTTTAATAATTGTCGCAGATTAAAATGAAACGGAGGACCTCTCTTGCTCCTCTTTAAAATTTATAAAACCCACTTATACTCTTTTATTAATAAACCTAACACTATACCCTAACCTTAACTGACAAGGAAGATTTGGCTAACACATGTGTAGTGGCACAGGATCAGGATTAGACTTATGCGTTGCATGATCAATCATCATGTTATATAAATAGAACAATGGTC